GTAGTTGAGAACTTTCCTCCTGCTCCGCCTCCGTGAAGTCCGTCTGTGTTCTTGTCACTCACTCTGCCAACTTCCTTCTCCTCCTCCTCCTCCTCCTCCTCCTCCTCTCCCTCCTCTTCCTCACCTGCACCGACCTCCACGCATCGCGCTCAATCTGTCGCACTCTCGCCTCTCCCCACGCCATAGTCGAGCAGGGACAGTCGGAGGTTTTCAATCTCGCGCTTCAACCTCCTCTGCGTGTTCTCGTTCTCTTCTTGCGCCTTCAGCCAGAACCTTTGTAGCCACCCTCAGTATCCCAAGCTGCATCTCCTCTCCTCGCCCTTCCCCCCCCTCCTGCCTCCTCCCCCTCCATTCTGCTTGCCCCCCATCTACCCTCCTTCCCTTCCTTCCTCCCCCTCCCCCTTGCCTCCTCCCCTTCTCCTCCCTCCTCACCGGAAGGGCCTCTGCTCTTCCTTGAGCTTCTCCCTGCTCTTTTCACGGATCTCCTGGCTCCTCCTGCTCTGCTGGATCAACTTCTTGCTGAACCTCTCCTCCCTGGTCGATCGCGGGATCGGTCGAGCTACAAACTGCTTGCTGTACTCGATCCTTTCTAGCTCCTCCCTCTCGATCAAGTCCTTCTCGAACCGAGTCTGCATGCAACAATCGTCAGGCAGGAGACGAGAACGAAGCAGTCTGTGCCTGTGTGATGGACTTTTCTTGATCCTCGTCTCAAAGCTGAACGGCTCCAACGTTGTCCTCCGCTGCCTCGCTGACTGTGAACGGTGCACGGCGCGCATGAACGATGCACGACCTCCTCCTGTATCTGACTCTGCTCCCTCCACGTCGTGCCTGGGTACGTTGCCAGGACCGGGATCCGACGTGTATCCTTCCTGCGGCATCGACCGCTCCGGGGAGCTTCGCCGCCAACCGGGAGAGCGAGTGTGAGCATGCACGGACGGGGAGCTGCCGGGCTGATCCTGGTCTGTCTGCTCCTCCGTGCTAGAGTGATTGGGTTGCTCCCGAAAAGTCTCGCGTTGCTGCTCAGCGCGGGGCTCCTCATAGTGAGTGGCTACGTAGATGCTCGTACCAACATCCTCGTCTCCAGCTCCATCGGAGCCTTGAAGCAACTTGAGCTTCCTCTCGAGCTCTTGGATCCTCCTCTTGTTCATCTCCCTCAGCCGGGTGATCCTCGATATGTCCACCTCCTCCTCGATCTGCTGCTCTATCCTTGGATTCACCTCTCCTTCCGACGCGATGATGTCGTCTACTTGCGCTCGAGCTGAGATTCTTGCTGCTGTCCTGTTGGGAACGCTGGAGCGCGAGCCAGGGCGGGACCTGAGCTGCTTGCTCTTGTGTGAGATGGGAGTATTCTTTGTGTGAGGGTAATAGATTTCTTCGTCATCTGCCAGTTTGAATTGTCGCATATCATCAAGCACTGACAACGGTCTGCGTCCTGACCGATCCTGCGGGTCTCTCGGCGCAGCGCGAGAGGAGTTCATCTGACTGAAGGAGAGAGACATGGCTGGATGCGACTGACAACGCGGTTGCAATCCCGGGGCGGGGAATCTGAGAGCTAGTGCATGGTTTCCTGCAAGACAGGATCAGGTACGGTCTCTACACTTGTTGGAGATCGGAATCAGGACAAAATCTTTGGTTTCTCGTCTTCATAGTCTTTGATCTCCTCTCTCCACGCGTTCTCTTCACACCTGACGATTTCCCTGCTATTTCTGAGTTATCTGCTTCTTTCTCCTGTCCCATCTCTCCACCTCCATTTTTTCGCTCTCCTCTCCACTCCACTCCACTTCTCCCCTCTGTCTCTGTCTCTGTCTCTGTCTCTGTCTCTGTCTCTGTCTCTGTCTCTGTCTCTGTCTCTGTCTCTGTCCCTGTCCCTGTCCCTGTCCCTGTCTCTGTCCCTGTCCCTGTCCCTATCTCTATCTCTATCTCTGTCTCTGTCTCTGTCTCCTTCCTCCCTCTCTCCTCTCTCCTCTCTCTCTCTCGCACTCCTCTATCCCCGCTCTCCTCTCTGCTCGCCCCTTCTCCGCATAACGGCTCCGTAATGTTCAAAAAATGAAGTCTGCCTGTACCACCCCACCTCATCTCTTCCATTTCTTTGTTGGTAATTTGTACCAATTAAGAACACCCCTACCCCTTGTTTTACTACCCCACCCCACGGACAACGAATTCCTGCAAAGATTTCAAACTTGGGACCTCCTGGACCTCTCTATCCCTCCCCGCTGCCCCTCCCCCTCCCCCTCCCCCTCCTCGTCCTCCTCGTCCTCGTCCTCCTCGTCCTCGTCGTCCTCGTCCTCGTCCTCGTCCTCGTCCTCGTCCTCGTCCTCCTCGTCCTCGTCCTCCTCGTCCTCGTCCTCGTCCTCCTCGTCCTCGTCCTCCTCGTCCTCGTCCTCATCCTCCTCCTCGTCCTCCTCCTCGTCCTCCTCGTCATCGACCTCCTCCTCAGCCCCCTCCTCGTCCTCCACGGCCTCCTGCTCCTCCTCCTCCTGTTACTGTTCCCTCCTACACACCTTCGACATTCAACCTCCATCTAGATTCTCTAACGAAACTGCTCCCTGTTCCCTGCTCCCTGATCCCTGCTAAATGCAGACTGCTCCCTGATACCTGAACAACGCTCCCCCGCTCAATGGT